AAAAAAAAAAAAAAAAAAAAAAAAAAAGAAATGTGATGTACTCATTACTTACTGTGTGTTACAAACTGGCTAGACTTAAGATTTTGCTTAATTTTTACAACCATCATTAGGCTACAATCTCCATATTACAGTTGAGCAACAAAGGCTCAGGGAAGGCAAGTAACTGTCTCAGATCACACAGATGGTGAGTGGTAAAGTAAGGATTCAAACCTAGTGAGGTTGACTCCAGAGCACATACTCCTCTAGCCATGATCGAAGGGCATGGGAGGATGGAGAGGGTGCTGCTGCTTGTGCTTTTGATGGGTCTGGAAAGACACTGAGATTTTGTGCAGAAAATATGGGAAATTGTCAGTCATCTCCTCAGTCTTCATTCCTTGAACTTGAGAAACAACAAAGTGCTGGTATGAATGTGGGACATTGTCTGCTCTAAGCATTTAATAGATGTCACAGGAGTATTATGTAGGAGTGGGCTACATTCTTGTTCTTGAGAACTGAATGTTTTGGCTGCTCTGTCGAGTCAGTATGGATGTTGTGGAAATTCTTCTTCAGGCCTCCCCAAAATGCTATTTTCTAAAATAGTTTTGGTTCTGTTGGCATTGGTAAAGGCAAGTCAGAGGAACCTGGGCAGGGATATTTTACCCTGCAGCCTTTCAGCTGAATGCAGCCAACTGCTTCCCTACACTGCTTTTTCACAGCCCACAGCCCAATCAGCCTTTAGACACTTCTGCTAACTTGCCTTCCCGACAGGCTCCTTACCTGCTGCTCCTGGCTGCCTGCAGTTACCCCCAGTCCTGAGCATGCAGGCTTTGTGCTGTGTGCAAAGATGCTGCTGGAGCGAAAGACCCATGATGCCAGCTGAGTTGCTATAGTTGTAATTTAATTACATCAGCTTTACAGCCTATTAAGAGCAAAAAGGAAAAATGTTTTCTTGGTAACAATTATCGGTCATGTTCCCTTTCTTGTAAATTTCCATTCTTTTTCATCTCTTTCTACCTTAAATTCATTATTTTAGGGAGGAAGAAGTTGGAATGTCAAAAGAATGGCTATAGGGTGGGGCTGGTGCTTAAAAAGAAACCAGAGTGCTGATAACTGTATTTTTCCATCTTGATAGGCAGACACATAAAGTGTGGTGTGAATATTTTAGTACATGCAGGATGAGGGCAGAAGAGAGAACTGAGTAGGAAAAATTTTCTTATATGAAATAAGTTTTGAAAGAAAATTCTGTCTTTAAAATTTTAGATTGCAGATTGAAGATTGAAATGTTTTGTGCCGAATTCGTTTATTTGTCCAAATACACTGTTGAATATTTTGTTTTAGAGAATAGATTTGATAGGTTTTTTTTTTTTTCAAATGTGTGTGTTTGATGTCTTAAAATCATTAAATTTTTTCACACATAAAGAAGAGTATACTTAACATTTATATATGTTACAACAAGGTGTAAATTAGGGCTTTTGCAGGCCATGAGCCACACCCAGCCTTAAAGTTTTATTGGAACACAGCCAAGCATATTTGTGTTGTCTGTGTTGCTTTTGTGCTACAGAGTTGAGTAGTTTTGACAGAGATCATGTGCCCTGCAAAGCCTGAAATATTTAGTATCTGCTGTTTACAAAGTTTGCTGACTCTTAGTGTAAGTAATAAAATGAATGAATACTCCTGTACATTGAACAATTAAAATAGAATATTGAGCTGAGTGCCGTGGCTCATGCCTGTAACACCAGCACTTTGAGAGGCTGAGGCAGGTGAATCTCTTCAGGAATTCAAGACCACTTGGACAACATGGCAAAAATCTGTCTACAAAAAATTAGCTGGGCATGGTGGCATACACCTGTAGTCCCAGCTACTCAGGAGGCTGAGGCAGGAGGATTGCCTGAGCTCAGGAGGTCAGAGGGTGCCCATCATCAATTGCATACCCCTCTTTTCTCATCGAAGACACTGCACTGGATTTTTCTATTCAGACTCTGAAATCAGACAACCTAGGGGTGTATAAAGAAAAAACCAGCAGTAATTTATTCTCCCTAACTTTGTCATCCAAGGTAACCAATGTTATTAATTTGCTTATTTTTTCAAATACTTCTCCAAGTTCATGCAAAATGTATATAAACATTTGTTTCCCCAAAGTTATACAGCAAATTATAACTCTTCCTGTGATAATACTATAAACTGTTGTTTAAGCTCTTACTGTTTGTCAGGCGCTGTGCCACACACTTTATACGCATTATATAATTTCTTTTTAAAATAACCCTGTGAAAGTGTTATCTGTATTTTAAACTTGAGAAAAGTCAAATAGTGAGTGGCCAAGCCAGAATTTCAAATCCAACTTAGTAAGAATTCCTCATATTTGCATGATGCTTTTCAGTTTCTGAAGGATAGGCACTCTCCTGACTGGTCTTACAGTGTCTGAGAAGTAGGATAGGCATTTTTTTCCCTACATTTAACAGAGGAAGAAACTGAGGCTTGGAAAGGTGATGTATCCAAGATTTTCAGTAAGTGACAGATGAGACCTGAGCTCAGGCCTCCTGACATTTTATATGCTCCCCATGTATACTGGGAACAGTCCTTGTCCTTTTACTCCCCTGGGACAGGAAGGAGACTCTAACTTCCATGATTTTCTGCTCATGGGGGCTGCCTGGCTTTTGGGAATTGAGGTAGATAGAAGGCAGGGAACCTTCTAAGAATTTTTCCACTCTTACAAACTGAAAGTTTCTAGTACAGCCTTTATTTATAAAGTCATCCCTACCCTAGATTCCCTGCCTCCTTCATCAGTCCTTTCCCTCCCTGAATATGCACTGCATAAACCATATACTGCAAAAGCCGCACACTGAACAGTTTCTGCAGGTGTCACCCACTTAGATGACCTTTCTCTTCTAAGAATTCTAGTAGCTAATTTTTAAGTTCTGAGGTTCTCAACCCTGGTATACATTAAAATTGTTTTGGCACTGGATGCATTCTTATGTATCTCTGGTAGAGTACAGCACCATGGGACAAAATTTAGACATAGCTAGCAAAATTGACCCAGAAACCCCACTGCTAGGGTTTTGTCCCAAATATATACTGGCAAAAACACACACAAAAAAACTTGTGCGCAAGGATATTCATTACAGCGTTATTTGTAATAGCAAAAATTGGAAACAACTCAAATGTCCATCAATAGGGGAGTAGTTGAATAATGTTGTATGTCTATGTAGTAGAGAATTCCTCAGTAGTACAAAGGAATTTGAATATACAGTAACATGGAAAGATTCCAGGATATACTATTAAGTAAAAAATGCAGGGTAGAGAAAAGTGTTTAGTACTCTGTCATTTATATAAGAAAGCAGGTGAAAGACATCCGATGTTCATGGATCAGAAAACTTAATGGTAAGATGTTAATACTCCGTAGATTGGCCTATGGATTTAACAGAGTCTCTATCAAAATCTCAGCTGGGATTTTTTGCAGAAAGTGACAAGTTGATTCTAAAATCCATATGGAAATGCAAGGGACCTAGAATAGCTAAAACAAACTTTAAACAGAAGAAAGTTGGAAGAGTCACACTTGCAATTTCAAAACTTATTACAGAGTCACAGTAATTAAGACCATGGTACTGGCATAAGAATAGACATATAGATTGATGGAATAGAATTATTAATCCAGAAATAAACCCATATCTGTGATCAGCTGATTTTTAACAAGC